TGTTTTCTCTGCTCTGACCAAGCACAGGAAGTGAGCAGTTGTCAGGATTATACCAAAGCACCTGGCTAAATCTTCCCAGAGCAACTTTCAAACCAAGACATATGCTGACACAAGGGTGAGCAGGCATCTCTCTGAGGCTTGGGACAGAAGCACTTTGTGCCTCTCACTGCTCTGTCAGAAAAGACATGATAGGGAGCTCTGAGAGAGAGCACCAGCCAGAACTCCCTCATGCTCAGATACCTGACCATGGTGCTCTGTTCATAAACAGCCAGCTCTGTGAAGAACCAGGGTTTATTGGGAAGTGCTGAGTCTTGACTGGTCCCCCTGCTATATCCTGTCACAGCATGGTGGTAGAAGGCAGGTAAAAGTATTTTTCTCAAATTTGGTTAAGGGCAGAGGTTGTCTGAGGACCATTTCTAACAGAGATGTTCTGTCCAAAACAACCAAGGGCTCTTTTCTGCCAAAATATCAAATCTGAGCTGGCCTAACAGTCACATGGATCTGTTTCCTGAAAGATCAATTAGATCCCATGACTCCTGCATATGGTCATAGGCTACCTTAGAGAACTTTGAGATCCACACGACTTTCCCGGAGCTAATCACTCATCTTCCTCAAAATATCTGTTGCTCTCATTTCCCTTCTCTAGCACCAAAGCAAGCATCAATCTAAGTCACCAAGGGATCTGCAATCTCCCCAGATAAAAACCTGTAAGCCAAATGTGATCTTTTTTAAATACAGAACACCAGATGGGCCTTTCTTGTTTTCTAGCTAAACATCTCATGCCATGTCCAATGAATCCCACCTCCACTCTGCTTCCATACATACTTAGCTGCATAAACCTAGTGCTTCCAGACTCCTGCTTCACAAGAATGTAGCAGGGATTGCAGTTAATTTCTGTCTGAACAGTCAGAAGATGATCAGCTTACAAATACTTCATTGAATTCCATCTGTGCAGGATCCCTCAGGTACTGCAGAGGGATTAGAAAATTAGAAAATTAGAAATTAGAAAAGCAGGAGTAAACATGCTTTCCTCTGGCACCACATAGCTTGTGCACTAAACCGTTACCCGAGAACCTGGTTACATGCAGCCACATCACTGGGATTACAACGGAGGACTTAGCCAAAACATGACTCAGGAGTAAGATCTGACTTCACTGAGTGTTTTTGGAACAGGTTGTGAACATGTAAAGAAATGTGATGTTGCTCCTACTAGCAGAGAAATGCTATTATTTTTAATGAGTTGTGGTTAACTACATATATTACACATTCACCACATTGTATGCCACTAGCTATAGAAACTCAAGGGCCTTTACTGGGCTTGGACTTTTAGATGAAGCACTGATCTTTTTTTAAATATCAGTAAGACTTTTGAATCATCATCTGTTTCAATCTGATCAAAACACGGGGTCTTACTAAGCCTACAAGCCTAGTGTTTTTTCATACAGAGCTTTCTCATTCACCTCCCTCTTGACCCGGTGTCCCCGCTGTTCTGGGTCCAGGATACATTTTCCACTTCTGTCAGTCTGGTCAGGCACTTACATAGTGTATAAAAAGGACCAGGGGAAGGCCCCAGCTGGCCTGAGTCATCCACAGTCCCTCACTGCAGTGGTTGGTAGAAACTACCTCTATTCACATCATTCTGGAAGTTCAGACCCTTCCTTTCTCCTTCAGCAACTCTACTGTCCTAACCATTATACTGAATTCCTCCAGTGTTTGTGGTGACATTTTTGAAGTGAGGCCACATGAACTACATGAGTGTCTGCTCTTTTCTGAGTGGATTTCCTTCACGTGCTTTTTTACAGGAACAGCCTGGAGGCAAATAAAGGAGGGTAGAACAAGAAAATCTAGTATACCAAGGTTAATTGTTTATTCAGAAATTGCTTGAAAAGTGCCTTCTATCCCTCCTTGCCCCAAAGCAGAGAGATGTAAATATATCCTAGAAGGGGTCGGAGGACTTAACATTTACTCTCAGCTTCCTGTAACACTGGCTCAGGGTTCTGAGTCCCCACACAGGAGCAGAAAAAAATATCCTGCAAACCTTCCACATCCACATTTCAGCTTCCTCCACACCTAATGCCTCCTCACTTGGGCAGGGCAGAAAACTCCAGGCTGTATAAACTGCCAAAAGGAGATCAAGTGAACCTGTAAGATGTTGTTGAAAGCCCAGGCAATACTAGTAGGAAAAGGGTGGTGCTACCTCCCTTCCAACAGGAAAAGTCAATGAAGGTGTGTGGAGATCAGGCATGGATGTCTGAAGTCATCAGTGTATATCCTATATATCACTATACTCATTTTAGTATCACATACAACTGTACGGAGGCAAAGCCTTTTTTATTCCCCCTTCATTACCAAGCAGCTATGCTGCTGTCAGCTGTGTCAGCTGCCCTACCTAGCCAGCAACACAGGCAGTTCAGTCTGAGTGCAATCTCTTCTCAGAACATCCCATTGACTGGGGTTATTGCCATTCCCCAAGTTTCTGGTCTCATCAAAGGAGAGGCAGAGGGGGACAAACTGAAACTTCTGCCAAATTGATAAAGATTGATCAATATTTTACTTAAAATTCAATAATTTTCTTAGACTGTAGACTGAGTTGACATTGAGCAACAATGTTTTTCCAAGACTTGTACCCTAAAGGAGAGGCCAGAAGGCAAGGCCAGACATGACACCTGAAGGTCTGGTTTTGTGTGAGAAGATAGGTATCCAGGTCCCAAATAACTTGTACAACTTCAGGTGACTCACGAGCCTACTGAAGATTAAGGAGAACACAACCCTCTCCATTTGTCATTTGTGCAGAAAAGGAGTGCCTATATTCCTGCGCTTTGGGTAAAACAACAGTACAACTCATATAGCACAAGGGACCAGGACAAGAACACTTGAATGTCTTTACAAGCGCTCAGGTGTGCTCATTTGTGTGAAGGAGTTGGTTAGTTTTCAGAGCAGACTCAATTATGTCTCATGTTGACATCCCGTACTCTGGGGCTCCTGCTTTTGCTAAGTTTCAGGAAGAGAAAAAGACAGAGTCCTGTAGCCCAACAGACACAGTTCCTGGAAGATGTAAATTTTCCACAAAGGCCCATCTGGCAAGTGTATTAATCATCACTGGAGTAGGAAGTGAAGGGCCCGAATCAGACAAAACATCAGTGAGACTTCTAGAAGAAAGATAACAAATGTCTTCAAAAGTGGAAAAGTACAGTAAGAAGGAAATCGATTTTAGAGGATGGGCTTTTCTTTCTAGTAATGTTGTCCCACGGGAAAAAATAGAGGCTCAAGCTCCAAATGTAATGTCCTTTTTTGTCAATAATGGAACCATTTTAGAAACCAAGTACCTGATACAGGGAAATTTGAATACAGCTTGTTTTCTCCCACAACTGACAGACGTTTAAAAACCATATACCTATATATATATTTATGTGTTGCATACACATATACACACGCATAACGCAGCTCTGGGAGAAGAAAACCTTAGTTAATTGAATGTATCAATGCTGAGAAGCAGTAAGAGCTGCAAATATGTGAGTGCAGGAGGTGACTTCAGCAGAACGGAGTGTAACGCAGGTGAGTTTCAGATCAGATTGCAGACAGAAAAATTTAGGTATTTTTCTGAGACAAAGAAAGCAGAAAACAGCAAAAGAACTCACAGTTACAATATACTGAAAGAAGAATCACACAGATCTGCAAGATGTGTGTAAAATGGAGGAAAAAATACAGTATACAGTTCACAGCAAACTAACAAAATGCCTCCTTGTTCTCCAATTCTACGAGTGCCAACCCTTTTGAAGTCCTTTGTTGCTGTCTTATAGTCATTGCTTTTGTTCTGATGCTTTATTTAGCAACTTGCCTTACAGATACATAAGGATTTGTGGGATAAAATGAGCAGTTAGAAATACACTATGCTAACAAAACGCAAAAAATTATAAGCCGCCATGGCTATAAAGGGATGACTCAAAACGGATACCAGCACAGTACATTGATCTCAGGTTAAAAAAAAAATATCACAGCAATAGTCGTGGCTGCTGCTCTTGAATTGTTTGCATATAGGCATAAGCCTGGTCACAGAGGAAATGCCAGTCAGTAAAACTCCCAGGTGCTCTATACTGACCTGCTTACTGGAGTAGAGTTCTGCTATAAATTTATGTGATACGTTGAACATCTGCGTTCCAGGAAAAACAAGCAGGAAAGGAGAGAATGGCTGGAGACAAATAATTTCCCTGCAAACACGAAGGCCCATATGTCAGAATTCAAACAGCAGTCAGGAAAGAACTGCAAGTACTCCAAGACGACCCAGAAAGTCAGGGGTCACACAAGTGTCTAGGCCCATGCAGCTTGGGCCTCTGCATGAAAAGGGCGACTGCAGGGCTCCCTTGGGACAGGGCACACATGGAGGCCCCAGGACCTGACAGGGGTCAGAGGTACAGCTACAAGTAAGACAAGCAAGACACAGTCTTGTCTTGAAGACAAGAAGAAGCTGGGACCACACTTGTAAAGTTCTGACTGCTGCTGTCTTCCAGACCTTTGGAAGACTCACGTGCTCGGTGCATTACACACTTCCCAAGTTCCTTGCCTTGAGACAGCCTCAGGTTCCTGTTGTTCTGACCAGATCCTGGTAGTCTTGGTGATGTAAAACTCGCAAGATGTCATGGCTATTAGAAGGTAAAGTTCACAGAGAGGCCTCTCCTCTCCTCTCCTCTGTGCGCGCTCTGGGGATACCCCTCAGGGGAACGGCTCCCTGAGACGCAGGAGGCCACCAGAAGGCAATACCGGGGGGACGCGGAGCACAGACCCCGCTCCCCACGCCGCCCTGCAGGGATGCCGACACGGCCTTAGCGCACGCAGCGCCAAAGCCCCGGGCCCCAGCACGGCCGGACCACCCCGGCACACCCGGGCAGTCCCCTCACAGCCCGGCATCCCCGGGCCCTTCCACGGCCGCGCGCGGACCCCTCCCGGCGGAGGGCGGCGCTTGCGGGGCGGTCCCGGCGTATCCCAGCCCCGAGTGCCTCTCCCGCGGCGTGGCCCCGGCTCGGCAGCGGCAGAGCCGCCTGGGGAAGGGTCTGGGCGGCGGGGGCTCGCCGGCCGCCATGGGGACCAACGCGCCGCTGCGCCGGGAGCCGCTGGCCCGCGGCCCCCACGTAAGTGAGCGGTGCCCGCAGGGCCCGGCGGGGCGGGCGGGGCGGCGGCCGGGGCAGGCACGGGGGCAGCTCTGCCGGGAGGGCGAGGTGGGAATTCAGCCCGGGAGGGAGCTGCCCTGCCCGCTCGGAGAGAGGATGTCACGGCAGGCGCCGTCTCCAGGGCCAACGCGGGACCCGCCTCCGTACCTCCGTTCCTCCATCAGGCACACGGGATTTGGGGCCGTGCCGGCTGATGTGGTGGGCATTCAGAAGTTCTCGGGAGACCGGTGCTAAATGGTTGCCCATTTGTGCCCATTCTTTCTGGATTCCCTTGTCATTATCCAGTCCATAGCAAGCTGTGGGAAGCCAGTGACCTTCCCAAAGCTAGCACTCTGTTCCTTGTCACTGTGACTGTCTTGACCATTATTTGGGAGATGAAAAATTAGACTTACTCACATTGGGGCACTACCTGGAGGGTGGTCTTGGCAGGGTTCTGGCATTGTTAATCAGTTTTATTTTGCTGATGTACCTGTGTCAATGAGGAATGCCCCCACCATGCCAGATGCTATACAGGCACAGTGGGAAGAAAGGCATGCACCCTCCAAGGATTCACTTTCAAGCAGAATGTGGACAGGTTTTGGGAGAAGAGACATGAATGCAGGCAGGATAACAAGGCAAGTTAAGCTCTGCGGGGTAATTTTTCAGGTAGGTTTCTTCAGAAGGCATTCAGCTAACACATGAAGTCAATGCAACATTGAGGGGAAGGCAGAGGAGAGGCATACAGCAAGAAGGACAGCAAGTCCAGAAAGGCTGAGAAGGTGGCTCTGGAGAGAGAACCAAAGGGCAATCCAAGACCCACGGAGGTAGTCTTGATGCCTTGCCCCTTGGCCAGCGCTCCCACTGGAGGAAGTAGTTCTGCTGATGCTGTTGCCCCAGGCCGTTCACTTTGCCACCTGTAGAGCAGGTTTTGTGGCTGCCTGTTGGCTCTTTTAAGCTACCAGGGGCTATAGCTCTGTGCATGCATGAAGGGTGTGAAAACACGTAAGAAGTGATGTCTGCCAAAGTACAAAGCAAAAGATGTGTGCCTATTATGCAAAGAAGGCCCGTTCCATTTGAGTCTGAATGTCTCACCATGCAGTTCTTTCTCTGAAGCGTTTCTTTAGGTATCCTCCCTTTCCTCTTGTGTCCCAGCCAGCTTTGAGTTCAAATTTGGCACCAGGTCTCCCTGAAATCTGGAGGTGTTGAGAAATATCAGCTTGGATATTCACCAGTGAAGGAAACCATCTAGGATTCAGATTTAGGCTGTAAAGAAATGGATTTACCAGAAGCACTGAAAACATATCTGTTGTACTTATTTTTAAGTAAGAAATTAATTGACAGTTTTTGCCCTCTTGTAGCAGTGTTTTCCTCTGATGCTCTGAGTCCAAATCTGACACCGCCATGTCAGTACCTCAGATGTTAAAGAGTAAACTAACTCAGGGACAAAAGTGAAAATTATCAAAGCTTCCCATTCATATTAAGGAAATCAAAGGTGCTGATGAAAACTACAGAAACTTGCCTCTCCCTCAAGACTTTAAATTAGAATGTTAGTACACAAGAACTAAGTGGACTTTTTGACTTTGGAGCAGTTTCATACCAGAAGATTTCTCACATCTACTGCATTGCTCCTTAAGTGCATCACACTTAACAAGTCTACCTGGAACCTGGAGAATTTTAGCTGGTAAGAAGGTTGGCGGCCCACACTAAGGGAAATAATTAAGGAAAGTTGATTCCCATCGACACGGTGCTGCTTGCGGAAGGGGGATTTCTGTGGGCTGTGTAAAATTGACACTAGGGCAGAGTCAAGGACCTCCATAATCTTTTCCATAAACTAGCATGATTTCATGTGGTAGAAGCCAATCATAGTGATTTTTCCACTAATTGCTTAGCTTTGAAAATATGAAAACGTCCTTATCAAAATCCTGGTCAAATTGTATGCTTTTTCCTACAACTTCATTGTAAAAGATTGAGATAGATCATAGAACATTGTATGAGAAAATACAGGCATGAGAGCATGCTAAAATGTTAGTATTTCATAACTGCCTTTCAGAGACAAGAGGGTTTCAAAACACACAGGAAAAGTAAGAGGGAGAGCCTCTCACAACGTGGATTCTCATTAGCCAGATGTCAGGGACATTCAGGCCGAGTTTCTTATAAATACTGCCTCAGCAGCCAGGCCAGTCAGAAAGTGATCTCTATCCATATGATTTTGAGTAACCTCCTACATATGATTTTGAGTAACCTCTACTCTGGCACATGGAAGGCCTTGGGAAAATAGGCTGCTACTCTCTTAATAGTGTGTGGTCTTTCCTGGAGGGACTCAGCAGAGCCTATGAAGATGTATGTTGAGTTAGAACATGTATCGGAACAATTGCCCTTCCTGCAAAATCAGGGAATATTTTAGCAGTTACTTATATTTCTCTGTAATTCTGAAGTATCTTTCATTAAAACATCCAGTACTAAATCAAAGCTTTAATAAAATAACATAGATAGCAAATCCAGCTGAGTCTATCCCAGAATAACAGCTGACTCAGATGCTCTTCATGTGACTTTTTTCCCAGATAAGTATCAAAAAGAAGGAAGGAAAGAAGCAAATGGCAATTTATTATGTGGGTTGTTTTGTGGGTTTTTTTTTCCTATATGTCATCCTACATTCCAAAGATTTGCTCTTCATCATCAAAATCCTGATTTACTGTCCAAGTAAAGCATATTTACAGAAGGTTTGCTGGTTAAAGGCTTTCTATGCACTCTTTGGAGTTAGCACCTCTTTTAAAATTGTGTCCTTGTTTTTACTTTTCCTTTACTTTTGTTTCTCCTTTGGAAAAACAAAACTGTTTCTGGACGTGCTCGTAATGAAAATAAGGGCTATAGATACTCCAAAAAAAAAAATCTGAGTATAGATACTCAAAACAAAAAATTTTAATTTTGACCCAAAATTAAAGATGTACTTCTGTGTAATGCCTGATACCACTGTACTTTTGACTGGTGCTTGAGCCTTCCGTTACCTCTCTCCAAGCTTCTTCACATGGAAAACCTGAAATTGTTTCAGGAAATTATAGTAGCCATGTAATAGTTTAGGATTTATGATTGCTCTGAAAGTCAGATGATTAAAGAAGACATTTTAATAACTCATCTAATAATACCTAGTGTGTTACAAGCTTCCAAGACAGGAAGATTTAAACTTAGTGAAGGGTAGCTACACTTCTTTGCCCATTTTATGTTCTCTGTCTCTCAGAATTTCCCCATCTCTCTTCAAAACTGTAAACTGACTATATGTTTTGTACTGTGACTGTAACTTTGCAATCACATTTTCTTCTTTTATCACATTTTTTGTCTTAATGCAGTTAATACCCAAAGTCCACAAACTACACACAAAAGTAATTATTTTAATATTGAAAAAAAGATGTAAATACAGGTTTAGTCCTGACATTAGATCTTTGCTTAGCAGATTTTTTTTTTAAATCTTCTAGTAGCATTAGTAGCCCTTAAAATTAGAAATTAGCAATTATCAACGAAGGCACAATATTTCAAATATTTGTCATCTGATGGTCACATTGAAAACGCAGCTGCATGCAGATAGGATGCCATAGAACCTCAGAAGGGATAAGAGAGATGAAAAACAAAAACACTGTTTGGACAAGAAGAGCAAAGAGGAATCTCTAGACCTGTTCACAACACAGGAGGTATTTATTAATAGTGACAAGCGGATGGAGTTTGATGCAATATTCCTCCTTCCTGCCAGACATTTAACTTTCTTTTCAACCTTTCATGTCAATTGGAAGTAGAAAAATTAGGCAGTCTTAATCACCAGAACTGAGAAAGCTTAACAGAACTTCCTTTCTGGACTTCCACATATGAGAGGCATTTGCATGCTTGGTTGTTGCAAACTTGGCTGTTTATTTGCGTGGTTTCCCCAACCAGGTTTGCCTAACAAATAATTCTCCCACCACTAGCTGAGTTGGAACCTGGGATCTGGTATTTGGCAAACCTACCCCACTGTCTCACCTCGTGATGACAGCTTCCAATCAAGTTGGTTCCCTGCTGGCTTATGTCCAAATACTCTGAATATGTACAGCAGCTCTACTCATTCCTTTTGGAACATCCCCCAAGTCAAACCACGTTGTCTGCTGATCACAGGTTTCAGATGCACAGCACACTAAGAGGAAGAATTACACCACGAGAATCACCATAGCCTTGGCTGCCATCACTGTTCAAGACCAAGCTGGTTTGAAGCCAGCTTGAGTGTGTTGAACTGAGTTAGATTTCCCAGAGGATGTCTGATGTGTGTCAACATTCAGCAGCACCAATCATGGTTATTCCAGCAGGACTGAACAAGGACTGGAGCTTCAGAAGAAACAGACAAACCATAACCTTAACAGTTTTATTACAAATAAAGAAAACAGACCCTTTTGAGGGATTAAACCAATCACACAAGCAGAGTGAGTCACACAATGACAGCAAAAAGTGGGCCAGTTTCGTTATTTTTAGAGAGGGAGTGGGAAAGAAAAATTTTGTGGGTGGTTTTTTTTCAGCTGAAATTAAGATAAAGGCTCAAGTTGTTAGGGATTGAATGAAATGAAAAAAAAACACTCTCTTGAGGTTTCCAGCACTTTTTGCAGTGCTTTGTTTCCAGGCTCAGATGGATATTATCCCACTCCACACACACCCCTGAGCAAGGAATCCCGTAGAATGGAAGTTGCTTTTTTATGCAGTGCATCTACCACATCCTACAACTCTGCCTACTTATGACACACTTGACTCAAATTTTATATGATATAGGCAAGTGAAATTATATTGTAACACAGACATCAGATTTATTATATTTATTTTTATTATTATATTCATTATTACATAATTCCTTGTTATGTCAATGAGATTCACAACTCTGCTTGTTACCCAGGTTTTGATGCACCTTATTGTAACATAGAATCATAGAATTATTTAGATTGAAAAAGAACTTTTAAGATCATCTGCAAAGTCCA